CCAAGGAAATAACAAAACAAAGGTCCCCTCCTTCTCTTTCTCCTCCTCCCCACTCTCTGCCTTCCTCCTGCTTCTTGCCACGTGGTGATGTGTGTTAAAAATGCATACTGGGAAACTTTCCACCTTTGGGGTTGAAGCAGCTGCTGCCTCAGTGTTGTTTTTGTTAGGTTTTGTTCTTTTTTTTTTGTTGTTAGCATACTTTGCTGTTTTAAAGGGTGTTGCCTTTAAGCTTCATGTTTCATAACACCGGTTCAGATCACAAAGTGGGACGAATGACACTTTCCTGGTAAGAAGGAAGCTTATAGGGTCCTGCCCAGGGTGCTTCCCCCATCAAGCACACCCTCCTGCAAGGCTGACTTCCACAGGTGACTCGGCTCAGGCCAGGAAAGGGCATTCACAAAGGCTTGCTGGGCTGTCCCCATGTGGAATGAACCCGAGGAAGTCCACACATGAGATGCGAGCCAAGAATTTATAAGAGGTAACCTAAACAAAGCCAGTGCTCTCCAGTCCTTGGTTTTCCAAGAACACAAAGCATTCAGAGAATGTTCCACAGGCCATTGTCCATCCCATGTGGGAGCATTCACCAAAAGAAATAAGCTCGAACATTCCTAACATGCCAGGAAAACAGATGACGTTCAGGTGAAGAAGACCTGGCACCGGCCCACTTTCACTCCCACCTGCTGCAAATGACTCTAATGTCAGGGGGTAAGACCTCCGACCCCATGGATGGAGCAGGAAACTACAGCAAACAGTGACCAGTAGGGAGCCTCTGCTGAAAGTTCCCACTGCCCATGCCTAAAACAACCTATACCTTATATGGGAGGCATGTCCCCATGTCCTCACTGAGCACAGGACCAGGCACAAAAAGACCAACCCCTCAGCCTTCCCAGTGAGAGTGAGATTTTGTTACGAAGTCTATGTTCTCTGTCACCTTCTAAGGGAAACCCAACAGACAGTGATTCTAACAAGGAGAAAGAAGGTGTGGCTGTCGGGGTCTTGGTCATACCAAGACTTCAGGGAGGTGTCTCATGGCTAAAAAACAGGAAGCTGAGTGCCGGCAACACACAAAACTTCACCCAGAAAAGACAGACCTCCCTATGCAAAGAACAAACGAGCCCAATTCCTGTTAAAATGTTGAAAGAGCCTGGGCAACACAGGGAGACCCCATCTCTACCAAATAATAAAAAGTATTAGCTGGGTGGGTGGTGCACACCTATGGTCCCAGCTACTTGGGAGGCTGAGGTGGGAGGATCACCTGAGCTTGGGAGGTTGAGGCTGCAGTGAGTCATGATGGCACCATTGCACTCCGGCCTGGGCGACAGAGTGAGACTCTATCTCAAAAATATACATATTTTTTTAAGGACTTTTGGACTTAGCACTAACTGATCCACAGGGTCTCTGGAATCAAGAGAATAAACCTAAGCCGATGCAGAAGGATCCACTGAGCCCAGGAGTTGGAGGGTGCAGTGAGCTATGATGGCACCACTGTACTCCAGCCTGAGTGACAGAACGTGACCTTGTCTCAAAACAAATAAAAAAGAGAGAGAGAGAGAAGAGAGTAAACCGAAGACAGTTAAATGGCTTTGATCTACCTCAAATGTTATCCCACCCAGAGAACCAGCCTAATTGGATGAGCAGCTAGAAACACAGCCTGCTGCACACATCTCACCCGGGAAAGAGCCAGCCAAACCAGGGGATGTGGCAAATCTTACTCAGTGTGGACAATAAGATCATTTGGCTTTTCAAATAAAATGTTCTCTGATTTCAATAAAACTGAAACTTACAGCCACCCTCAAAAAAAAAGGAAGCCACAGATGTGGTGTGATATGATTGATGTTTCTTTCTTTTTTTTTTTTTTTTGAGATAGGGTCTCACTCTGTCGCCCAGACTGGAGTGCAGTGGCAGGATTTCAGCTCACTGCAACCTCCACCTCCAGGCTCAAGCGATTCTCCTAGCTCAGCCTCCCGAGTAGCTGGGATTACAAGCACGAACCACTACCACTCGGTTATTTTTTTGTCTTTTTAGTAGAGACAGGTTTCATCATGTTGGCCAGGCTGGTCTTGAACTCCCGACCTCAAATGATCCCCCCACCTCAGCCTCCCAAAGTGCTGGGATTACAGGTGTGAGCCACTGCGACCAGCCACGATTGATGTTTCAAAGCCTCCGTCTGCCCAGAAACCTATTCTTTCTCTACTTTGGCATGGTTCTTCCAACTCCAAGTTCAATTTCCTACACACACAACTGGCAAAGGTAAGGCACTGTCTGCAGGAAGCCACTGAAAGAGTGTGTATCATTCTTGGAGATAAAAGAAGTAAAGAGATTTCCTCCACCTTCCTCCTCTCCCAGGTTTGCTAATTGCCACCCTGAAATGATAGCATGTATCTTAGGAGATCATCTGGTATAGTCCTCTGCCTTAAGGGGGAACATGTTATTATGCCCATTTCATAGATGAGGCCGCTGAGCTGCACAGGGAGACCCCATCTCTACCAAATAATAAAAAGTATTAGCTGGGTGGGTGGTGCACACCTATGGTCCCAGCTACTTGGGAGGCTGAGGTGGG